ATTTGTTGAAAAATCCAACCACTTACACACAGTCTGAGAGGAGAGATATCTAAAATGGTGAAATGTCCTAGTACTGTGGGATTTTATTAGCATGTGCCACTGAGCCACACAAATTCTATGACCAGAACTAAAACGAGAATGTCTGCGGTCTGCGGTAACCTTGGTTCCACGAGAAGGGGAACAACACACTGTGTCATTGTTGATGCTATGGGAGCGCTTCTAGTGTGAGTAGTGTCTGAAGCATGTGTGCTACATGCCAATTCAGATGACAGTCAGATGACGTCATTGGCGCACCAGCATGTTCTACGAAAGAGCACCCAAAAAATATGTAATCAGATTCAGATTGTCTAAAGATTGTCTAAAGTAAGGCATGACAAGTAAGACAAAACAAAGCAGCATCTTGATTCTCTTCTCAGGGAACCAAAGTTGCATACGTAACCGCAGACACCCTTCAAAGTTAAATGTCATTGTTGACACTATGGGAATGTTAATACCTACTGCGCCATATGAAACAATGCCTACTCACTGTGTTGCGCCAAGCAAGCCAGGTTGTAGGCAAAAAAACTGCCATACAGTGTACCAATGACCATGCGCTTAGGAGTTATGGGTCCACAGCTCCATACTCTCTCTCAACTACCCCTACAATGCTGCCCTCATCACCTAACGTTCTAGTGCCATAGTTCTACTGTGGGGGCATAAATACACAATTACCTCCCGCTATAAAACTGGAGGGCTAGACAATGAGTGGGGCACTAATGGTGACAATGTCCACTCAAGGTGCGTTACTCTTCCTCTATATCAGCCCATGTAATAGGCATGAGCAGGGGTTACCAAACTTGGTCCAAGTTTAGCTAAAACCCTGATCAAACACACCTGAACTAGCTAATCAAGGTCTTCCTAGGTATACTTGAAACTTACAGGCAGGTGTGTTGAGGCAAGTTGGAGCTAAACTCTGCAGGACACCGGTCCTCCAGGACCGAGTCTGGTGACCCCTGGGCATAAGTTAGGAAACTGAAAGATGCAGCATCAGATGCAAATTGTATCAATGAAGCCATGTGGGAATCTCTTATACTAAGAAAAGTGGCAAGAAAAAGAGCGTTACACAAGCAACTTGAGATACCACAACTCCTCCCAGCGCTGTTACACCTATTGCTATGTGGTAAGGAGGATAACACATTTCCCACCTCAACCTTGTGCTTCTTCATTTTACAGAAACTTGAGGGAAGCACATTGACATCAACTTTCTTCTCTTCATAATGTACAGGGCAACTGATTAGAAAGTGGGACGCTCTGGGGATATACACAATATTTCATACACAAAGACCTGGGGATATGCATGATAGGAAAGTTATAGAAAAATGTGTCTATGGATTAATGTAAGAAGTCATTTCCTATAGTAGTATGTGTCTGTTTCAGAGAGAACTGAATAGGAGGAAGATTCTCTCTACATACTTTTAGGTCGTAAAAGTTTATCTGATCTGGCTGAGGTGTCCTGGTTGCCATGGTAGCCAGGGGCCTGGGCTCATTCACAGACATGCTGGCGCCCAGTATGTTTATTGGGTGAGGGGTCTGTGATTATTTGTTAATCTAATGAATACTTGATTTGTTAAATCTAATGAAAAATTGTGTGTTTGATTGGTCCAAATGCTACAACAGCCAGTTCCCTCAAGAGCTGACTGAGTGTGCTCCACACTGAGATGGATGACACAAAGATCATGTGTGTCCTCTGTGGTAATAAACCTCCGGCATGGAGGCATGCATCTTTTAAAAGTTTTCTCCATCTTTAAAAAGCAGGCGTTCTCAAACACATAAACAGCTATTTGATTAGTATTTTTATTTAAAATCAATGCCCTTCAGATATAATTATGAGATTAGAAACAGAAACACAGAAATGTGATTATTTGGTCTGTAAGTATGTAGGGCATTGTACACAGCATTTTAGTTCAATCAAAACACATCAAACAAGTCATTTATGAAATATGAAATTTGTATTTTTGTTTCAACAAAACATACATAAATGTAGATGTAGTAGAACATATAAAAGTGATATAAAATCTTAGTTGATTAAACACGTACAGTATATTTATGTGAATATATATGCCACATACCGTATATTCACGTGACTGGTTATTCGTAAATGTACCATAGTACAATACAATTCATATAAAAAGCTTCAGATGCACCAATATGAATAGATCTTTCTTACACCATGAAATGTAAACAGATCTAACATGTTACATCAACAGCAACCAAAACAAAATGTGTTAGTGTGCACTACAATATTACTAACAAACGCATCACAGTAAAACAAAACAAAAAAAAAGTCACCACAGAAGTCACACCACGACAGAAAGTATATTTATATCAACATACTTGGCTCCTTGTCTACACTAAAAAGTGAGTTCAAATAAGCCTACTCACAATTTCACATTTTTAGCATATAACATGTGTAAAGTACACAGTGCTCACAGACAAAATATATAAACTCCAAGGAGAAGTAAAGAAAATATTTCAGGCTTACTGGCAGAGATAATACATAAACAATAGCATGTATTTTAAAGTGGACGTTATTTCCTTGCATTAGTATGTCTGGCTGTTGGCAACTGTTCGAAGAAATTAGTGTGTTCACAGTCTGGTTTCACCCTGTGTCAAACTTGGTCTATTTGGGTAGTTGCACTTACGGTAAGCTGAGAGACTCCAGGTTTCTTAAGCCTTACTAAACTTCCACCCCACAAAAAGACATTCCCATAATTCCATTCACTACTGTCTTTACTCTCTAAGGATCTTTTGTGTATTGCAGTGTTCATTAGAATTGTTCAACATCTGTTTGGCATCTTTCATTTCTTGGGAACTTTCACTTTTGGTCCGATTGCTCATTTTCTCATTCTGTTCCTGCGTTGAATTTGTTCTTCTAAGCACCATAAAAGACAGGAAAAAAAAGACGAAACCAGCAAATATAAAGAATATCTGGAGTCCCAGGAATCTGTGAAGCAAAAAATATTTAACATATGTAAGTTTACCCTGCTGAAAAAAAAAAATTGGGGGGGTCTTTCTTTGGGCAGACAGGAAGACACTTTTCCAACCTTGGCCAGATGAGAGGCCAACTAGACCAGTATAAACCAATTAAGAACAGTAATTTTTTTTTTCTTTTTTTAGGCATGGTATTATTTCTTTTGTTATAAAATCCATAGTAATACATACAATATAAGGCACACTCTACTTTTCATAGCAGATTAATTTTGAATTTTACCTGTGTCTGAAAAGTTCTAAATCGTAGTAGCTACATGAAGTTGTCTTATTGCATTTCTTTCCCCACAGAATGCATGCGGTATCAATGGCACGGCCATACAGCACTGGAGCTGGAAGGAATGCTGTCAGGGAATAAAAGTTCCTTGTTAATTTATCTTTTCACAAAACATTACCAGACTCAGCACAAATTATATAACCCGCCATTGTGTCGATCAATACCATACACATTCATGAGTTACATAAAACACCACAAAAAGACTACGAGACCCGTAACTGAAAAGCTCAAATATTGTCTTAACACACCTATTCCTGTTAATGATATGATTGATATCTGTTATGATGGTGAGTTATTACATTTTTTTTGAGATATCACTGCAACTTTCACAATACTGGGAAAACTTGTTGTATAAACAAAGACAGATAACACTAAGCTAAACAGGGCAGGTCTGAATGTGCCCGTAAAAATTTCGAAACACTTTAATTTCACCATCGCTTTTTTATTTTATTTTTTAGATTTTGCCTCTTTAATAGATTAGACATAGTGCAGACCAGATTTAAACCTGTTTTAAGCACATGAGCACCATGGCTTAGCATGCGTGTGAACTGATGTACTAAGGCTCTCACTACTACTGCCTGAAATTGTTATTATCATGCTTTGATATTCTTGCTTTTGTTCTCAGTGCCCTCATACCAGGTTTTGGTTGTAACATGTTTCTGTTAAAATATGACATGTGTCCGTTCTGCATGATCAACTTCTTTTGCTTACCAAGCACTCGAAACAGCATGAACTGAATTCCTAAGGCAAAAGATTTGTCTTCTGGAGTCACAGTCCTGAACAAAAGCCAGCAAATCACACATAATTTTACAACATTGTTTGCATAAATAAGACATTTCAGTCAAATTTCATGAATATCAGAGTAATGAGCACTTTGAAAGAAGTCTTCTTTAACATATCTTTTAGGCTTTTTCCGAAAGTAAGTGCCTGTGGTCTGTTACACTGATGGCAGTTTTTCGTGATGTTGACAGGGCCTGCACAGGCAGGTTTTTGACTATGGTATAATGATACTATGACGTATTATAGCTGAAGGGCATAGATACATGGCAGATGCGCAACATTTTAAAAGACAAAGTGGGTGAAAACATTAATCAGTGCAGTGATTAAAAGGTCAACCAGAGTATTTAGTTTAGAGGGAAAAAATTATTAGCATTATAGAATAAATACATTTTATTATGCTTTAGGTAGCAACTATGCAAGTGTTGCACTACAACAAGCTGCAACCTGCTAAGCAAGTTCACCTTGACACTCTTCCTTTTAGACAAATCATGCCACAACGTTCACTGCCATTAGTTTTTAAAGTAGCAACATTCCATTGTTCTTCTCATAAATGTATTTTTCATTCAATTTTCTCTTCACTTGACCAAAATTATGAAATGATATAATCACTCTTTACCCCAAAAACACGTTTTCAAACCATAACTCAATACTTAATTGAGTTATGTACAGAGTATTAATATAAAACATATTAAACTTAGAAAAAAACAGACATACAGATATGTAACTGTCAGATATTTATAAAACATAAAGAGGTAACACTAGATGGTCACTTTTAACAGATCATATTTACATAAAATAAAGGGAATTGAAAAAAGAGGGAATACCTGAGGATCATCATAAAAGATGTAGTGTGGGAAAGTGAAGCCACAAAGCATGTAATGGAGGACAGGATCATGAAGGGAATGAGCCGATTCCTACACTTATTTCCACATGATCCTGGAAACGCAGAGCCTGGAGAGCCAATTGATGCCACACATTCACAATCCATGTAGTTCTGTGGGAGATTTAGGGTGATTAAATGTTAGGTACTGAAAAGTTCAATTTAATAGATTTGAGAGGTTACTTTCAGAATAATTATATTTAGCACAATTACTATTGTTATTCTCATATTTGCTGGGAATTAAAAAAAGCCTGTTTGAATTAAAAAAGGTCAATATCGATAAATCTGTTCCAGAGTTAGGTAGTAAACTCATAAAGTATTAAACATGCAGCCACTGCATTTTTTTATCATTATCTGTTTGTTTGTGTTACATACCTTATAAATGAATAACAGAGACTTTAAACAGCTTCTAAGAAACCTATAAATCCACTAACACTGTTTTGTCTTATGACATTTTTCTATAGCTAATATCCATGCCTGGAAGATAAGTAGCATACTGCTCAGGAGGAGAAGTTTGTTTGTTTTGAAAGCAATTACAAGGATAAGGCATGCAGGAAGTTGTTTGGGCTTTTTCTTTTTATGTGGCCAAAGTAGGTCATGAAAATTTTTGAATGTAAGCAAAAGCAAAATATATATTCAAAACACATAATATGCATACAGCCACACACCAATAAAAATTTTGCAGATGGAAAATGCTCTGTATAAAAATATTTTTTCTATGTACTTTCCAAAAGCTAAACATCTTAAATAGTCAAATGAACATTCCATTATGACATGCAAACAGAGCTGTATGACCTTAGACACATATTTCTACATTACATAAATATTGTCCTATTTCCTGACTGCTACCATTTTCTTTTCACTGATTTGCTCTCCCAGTGGACAGAGGCTGTTACTGTGTATCTAAAGGTTGGCAATCTGTTTTGGAAGGCTGAGACTGAGTTACTTTCCCCCTGTGTTATATTTATATAGTAATGTATCTGCGTCCTCATCGCCGCAGTCACAGCAGTCTGCTGACATGCTCTACTTTCACTTCCAACAGCAGTTGGTATGCACTTGTAACAAGTAATGGTCTTGGTACTTTGAGCTATTGGTTGTTTTAACTTGTCTACATTTTTAAGTGTTTGTAGGTCTGGCAGTGTGTTTGTTTGAACCACTGTTAAGCCATTTCCCAAGGTGAAATTCCCTTTTATATATATATATATATATTCACTTCTAAATTTATTACATCACTCTTGTTTTGAATATTTCAAACATTTAAATAGTTCCTCTTTATCCTTAACCCTCTTATTCTGGTTGTCATTCACTCTCATAATGACATATGTGGTCGTCCTGTTAGTGGCATGTATCATTTTCTCTTCCACATGCCTCTTTGATTCATTGCATCTGTGATTACAAGTAATGATGTTCTGATTATTCCCTAAACATTTCTAAACTCTAAGGGATAAGGGAAATTCAGTGGTTATCACTTACTCAACCTCATGTCGCGCTAAACTTGTTTGACTTACTTTCTTCTGTGGAACACAAATGCAGTTGGGGTCAGTGGGGTCCAAAACAACATTGCACCCAATTGACTTTTAATGTCCTGTATGTGATGTAAAATGCTGAATGCTGAGGCATTTCTCCAAATATCTTCTTTTGTGCTCCACAAAAGAAAAATGTCATACAGGTGTGGAATGACAAGAAATGACATGAATTAATGACAGAATGTTCTTTATTTCAGGTGAATTATCCTATTAATCATCCACTGAGTTCAGGAATGAATTACTTTTTCTTAATCATTCACATAAAATCCTTTTGGTTAGTTCAAGCCAAGCACTTTTCTTACAAAACTCCATGTATCAGCCTCCCTTTTTGCGTCATTAACAAAGTACCTTTTGTTCCAGTAATGGAAGTTAAAGATAACTTACCAAACCTTTCTCTTTATCGGGTATTACTGTCTTACATCCTGCATGACAGGGAGAGCGGAATTCCACTTCATCTGAGCCACACACAGGGTTGAAGGCTTCATCAGAACAGGAACATGCATTGCTACACTGCTGGGAAGATCTGGGGAAAAAGTAAACAAAATAAAGGCAAAGGCTCATGGAAATAACAGGGTGCTTTGCGGCAGGATATTAAGCATTTGAAGAAAATGATCCTTTGCATATTGAGATAATTAAAAAGAAAAACTATTGGTCTAAAATCCTTGAGGAATGTAGGAGAAAATGAAAGTGCAAATTTCAGCCTGCGATTAAAATGTGGTCCATATCCAAAACTTTGTAATGGAAAACAGCTGTCAGAAGGTTTACACAGAACAAGACACTGTTGATATTCTTTTGTAAGTTGTAACTGGAATTATGGGCCGAATCACTTAGATTTTGGCAACCCCTAATGAACACTCTTATCTTTTTATTCATACCTGTATGTAAACAGAATATACATATACATATATATATATATATATATATATATATATATATATATTCTGTTTACATATATATTCTGTAATACCCTTTCAGAGGAAGATATAATTCTATTATGTTTGTCTATCCCTTTTGTCTCAGATTTTTTAGTTATTTTATTTTTTTAATTAAGAAAATCCTACACATCTTTTGTACCTGTTTATAATATTTAATATGTATAATATTTGTTACTGTTTAATGTAATGCAATTTACGTTTAATGTACTTTGTAAGTGTGTGTGTGTGTGTGTTGTGTGTGTTTTAATGCTTCAGGTTTGGGTGGGTCCGTGGGATTGTTCAGGTTGAAAACTCCTGCACTACATTCCTTTATTAATCCCATTGAACAATAAATAATGAAAGATGTAACACTTAGACAGAAAGCTTCAATCTTCCCTTGCTTATTTCTCAGGACTTTGGAATTTGTTATATTGACATATTGTATTGTGTGGATTAGCAGCGGTAAAGGTTTTGAATGAGTAATTTGTACCTTTGAACAATAAAATATGATTTCACTGGCCACAAACATACAGCACATATTGTTATGGTTTTGGTGGAGCAAAAGGTTTTCTTCTTGAATAATAACCTCAACCTCAACCAAAGGCATAGTTGATTTCCTTCAATAACTCACCCATCATCAAATTAGAAAAGGAGGCAGTCTGTGCAAACTGCCTCTCAATGAATTTGCCCATAAAAGTGGCCAGTCCCGCAACCATGGCAGCAAGATTCACTTGAGCCAACACTACCAACAAATAAATTGGGTTCCTCAGAGTCCTCATTACAATTTTGGGGAAACCTGAGGAAAGATAAAAGACACCAAACAATGTGAAAAAATCTGAATAACATTTGTACATTATAGCACAAAAAGAACTTTCAAGGTCAAGAACATTATATTTTGGAAGATTAATGAATAGATTATTGGATATCTTTAGAGTCAGGGATTTTTACATTAAACATCAACAACCGAATATGTTTCATTTATCTGGAAAAAAATAAATGAATGAATGAATGAATAAATAAATAAAAACACTGAAATCTATAAATATTACCAGAAATGTTAATATTAGACAAAATATTTTGGAGTTTGATAAATGACTTTTAACAACAAAACATATAGAAAGGATTAGTATTTCCTGTTGTGTGCAGCACACCCATTAAGGAAAAATGTGCTAAGTTCATGAAATATGTTACATAACTGTTACAGGAACAGAACATTTGAATTATGAGTTTGTAGTTCAGAAAAACGAGATTGAGTCATTATTTGGCTTCTAATCAGGCATCCGGTTCTGACTAAGTAGGTCAAATTGTGCAACATTAAGTTTCTATGCTAAATTTGGCACGAGTAGCATTATGATTGCAAGAGGGGATTCTTTTGAATTTGGATGTGGTAGTTTCATTATAATGCCAGTGTAGTATGGCCTAACAAATACAGTAATGCCATTAGGTTCTAAGGTAGGTCATAAACCTGCATCTTTCTACCTAACCACCCATAATCCAGTTTGACCAGATGCTGAATGCAATGAGATTTGGTTTGTGCTGTTTCGTTACCTGTGGACTGGCTGCTAAAACAATACAGACAGCACGTGCAATTATACAACTACCAGCGGGTGCAATTTATTTTTAGTTAACTACACCAGTAGGGTTGGGAATCGAAAATCGATTCCGATTCCAGAATCGGATACTTAAGGTCAGGAATCGGATACTTGCTCCGCCTATCGATTCCTATGCGTTTTTTTCTCTTCATCTGTGAGGACTGGACCTAGCGATCTGCCAGGACCTTGCTCACTAATCTAAGCGTTCCAAAGTTTGTCTACATTTGCGATCAGAAGCCAAAAAAGCTAAGTATAATATTTGTGATAGCTAAACATGTTGCAAGAGATGTGTCACCACCAACATGACAAAGCACTTTAATTTAATAGATCGTTAAAGATCGCGAACACGATTCAAACACCAACGTGATTCTATTCCTAAATTACAATGATTCGTTTGTTTCATTCCTCAACCTTTGATGTGTGCGATCACAACGTTGTGATCACTTGGTTCGTCCGTGCAGAGTACGATCACACCAGTGTGATTTGAACGTTTAAATCTGCGTTCGCACTGCCATTGACCTAAAGAGAGCAGCTGTCTGACATGAATGAAACAGCTTCACAGTCTTTTCAGCCACACAGTATCATTATTTCTGTGTTACAAACATTCAAATCACAGAAGTACTGGGATAAAAGTTTATAGTTAAGATATAAACTGTGTGTACGATGTGTATGATAGCAATTAAAATAGAGTAAATCACCTTTTGAAAGTAATTTGATACTTCAAATGAAGATTTATCGATTACATTGTTAGGCCAGTAGGTGGCGAAAAGGGGCTGTTAAAATGTATTTGTCTTTGAATCATACAAGAGATTCGTTCAAGAACGCTGATTCATCCAGTAATGAAACAAGTACGTCTTGAGTGAGTCATTAATTCATAAATTACATGCCTGTTGTAGCCTGTTGATTTTTGTTCATGGTATTCAGCTCCAATAAATGGTTTGCAAAAAATAGACACAGGATAAATGTTTGATATCATTATTTAATTACATTGGAATCGAAACTGGGAATCGATAAGAATCGGAATCAATAAGCAGAATCGGAATCGGAATTGATAGAATTCAAACGATACCCAACCCTGTACACCAGGTTGATGTTTGACACCTTAACTTGGAAAACTTTCTTGTCTTAAAATCCATAATATTGCCAGTGTAAAATTCATCCTGTCTGAATCAGGAGAGAAATATGCACAGATCAAGCACTGGTTACTTGGATCTGTTCACTTGCTGGACTAGAGCCATGTGGATGACTTGTGGATTATTGTGATGTTTTAATCAACTGTTTGAATTCTAATTCTGATGGCACCCAGTCACTGGAGAGGACCAATTGGTGAGCAAGTGATGTTAAATTTCTCGAAATTCAGGTGAAGAAACAACTCATCTACATCTTGGATGGCCTGAGGGTGAGTACATTTTCAGCATTTTCAATGTTCTTTTTTGGTCAGCTATTCTTTAATTTGTGATTAATAAAATCGCTGATGGGTAAAATGGCAAACACACTTTTTAGGAACTCAGTGAGAGACACCTCTTCCTTTGTTTCAGATTTGGGCTTCTTGTCCTCCATCATTTTTTCTGTGGATGGCTCAACAGGGGCCTCTACGATTTCCTGAAGAGAATGAAATCTTTAATTTAATTTGATTTAATTTATTGTTGAACAAAATTTATTGTTGAACAACCACATTATGCTCAAAATCAAAGTGCAAAAGTGCAAAGGGGTAGAGAGGTACATACACTCTTAAGAATAAAGGTTCCAAAAGGGTGTTTTTGCAGTGATGCCATAGAAGAAAATTTTTTGGTTCCAAAAATAACCTTTCAGTGAACAGTTCCTAAACAAACCATTTTGAAGAACATTTTAAAAATCTAAATAAACTTTTTCGACTATAAAGAACCTTTTCTGCATTTGAAAAGTTCCATGGATGTTAAAGGTTCTTCATAGAACCATTGATGCCAATAAAGACCTTTATTTTTAAGAGTGTATAGCATTGGTTTACACCAGCAAACCATCTTACCCTGTTTGCTCTAAATCTGCACAAGGTAAGATTTTGGTAAGATTTACACCAATCATGTTTTTATATCCACATTTTTAAATATGAGATTAAGCATCTTCCAATATCTGATTCACATTTACAGAACACAAACATTTAGTGCAAGAACATGTATGGACGCAAACTTCATGCTAGGTTAACCTGTTATTTAATCTAGTTGAGCAAGAGGGGGAAGAACAGGCTGAGACACGCTCCCCTGGGACTCATGTTTCTTTCCGTGGTTATAGTTTTTTTAAACATGTTCTGTGAGACCCAAGCGTACTTCAGGAGCAATGCCTAAATCTTATTTGCCAAACTCTCCATCACTCATTAATCAAAATGTACTAATTAATTTTCAGAATCAAAAAGGCTACAAATGAGATTTTTGATGTACCTCTCTAGACATCTTCCTTGGAAAAAACAGGTACGGCAAAGAAGTCAGGAGAAGGAGGGTGGCAGCTATCAGGAATCCCAACCACCAAGCTCCAACCCATCTGGGGTCATCATTTTTCAAATCTAAATCATCTGAAAAGTATAACAGCTCATTCATAAAACATCTCTTACATATATGAGAGACATAGAGCCAAACGTACTAAAAGTTCCTATCGGTGTTTGATGCACCAAGCAACATTGCTAAACATGTTGAATCTTGAGATAAACACTTCTTTTTAAATTCAGTTTAGCTTGTCAAAATGCACTTGTCTAAACATGATTAGAATACAGTTGTTAAAGTATTTACATTAGACTCTAATGTTGTTTAAAGGTGCAAAAGGTGATTGTCTTCAGAAACATTTTTTGTTTTGCTGGTTGAAAGCCAGCGGTTCCCAATTCCTGTCCTCGCGCCCCCCAGCTCTGCATATTTTGCATGTCTCGCTTAGTCAACACACCCGATTCAGATAACCAGCTCGTTATAAGTAAGCTACGTCCATGAACTGTGTTCCGATCGATATATGATCCCTACACAGTGTTCATTGCTCCCTACTCCATGAGCAGGGGAAATCCATTGATGTTTACTTCACTTTGGAACATGGGCTGGAATTGGGAACTGCTGATGTAGCCTATTGTAGTAATGTTGTCTCTGGTATTCTGGTCTGTGAGCGTATATGCATTCAGGGGGCGTGGCTTTGGACAGCGATTGCAGGGAGGGTGGGACGTTCGCTTTCAGTGCTATCAGGCTAAAGTTAGCATTTTCCAAGATCTCCTACTGCACCTTTAAGTATGAAAGGGTTTCAGGCACTCCATTGGATGTTGTGCCAAACTACTTCCTACTTTAAGCCCAAAGTATAGTTCATTTCTGACACGAACACTTAGCATTTGTGTACAGCAGAACACAGGGCCTTTCAAAGTATACTCTATTTGACAGTGTGCACGAACACAGATGCTTCACACATCCTGTCAACGTATGTATTAGCATACCTCTGCGCACCTGGTTCGCGCAGACAGGATACGTCATCAGTGTGTTCACGCACGCTGAGCAGACAGAGCGCGAATGGCAGACAAACATCACCCAGACAGCAACATAGTGTTGGCCCAGATCCGGCCCACATCTGGCCCATGTGAAATCCATGCGGGCCAGA